TTAATGTGTGTTTGAGCCACTTTTTTAAAGAATATATTTTGAAATAGTAGATTGATGAAGAATGTGCAGTTATAAAAAAAAAAGAAAAAATTGATTTGTATATAATATTATTTTAATAAAAAAAAAGTGATTAAAAGGAGGGAGAAAAAATGTACTCCCAGGAAAATGAGAATCAAATACCCAAGTGTTCACATTATGTGAACGATCATCTTTTCCTTTCGAGAATGCTTTATACGGAAAATTCTTTTTTGATAATCTTTTACTTCATTGCAAAGGAACCCCATTTATCTGCGTATATATTCTCTGTATCACTTCACCATGCCATGAAGTTTCATGCTTGCAATAGTTTTGCACTTAGAGGGTTTTTGTAATTTTCAGTGATGAACGATCATCTTTTCCTTTCGAGTGTGCTTTATACGGAAAATTCTTTTTGATAATCTTTTACTTCATTACGAAGGAATCCCATTTATCTGCGTATATATTCTCTGTATCACTTCACCATGCCATGAAGTTTCATGCTTGCAATAGTTTTGCACTTAGAGGGTTTTTGTAATTTTCAGTGTTGATAGTTAAAATACGCAAAAGAGAGTGAAAAGTGACAATGCAAGAGTGTTCTTCAAGCACGAAAAGAGCTCGGCTTGCGGATGAGTTTATTAACTTGGTGTTTTCGTGGTCTCTTGAAGACATTTGTAATGAGGGTCTGTACAGAAAGCAGGTTCGTTCTTTGTTACTCTTTTGGCTTCTGGTGGTAAATTTTCAACAGAGTATTTAACATTTTTTGCAGGTCTTGTTTTGATCATCGATGAATAGTTGTAGCTTAATTTTTAAGCAGAGCATTTGCCCTTCTTTGTGGTCCATTATTTTACATTCTCCTACATTTTTTTTTCGCTCTAGTTATTTTCAGTCACAAATTCTTCATTAAAATAATAATACACGCAAATCAATTTTTTTTAACCAAACATTCTTTATTAATCTATTGTTCCGTAATACATTTTTCAACCTAAACTCGTAATTCTGGTGAATTTTACTTTTGTATTGCATGGTGCTTAAATTTGCATGTAATAAGAGGCGCTTTTACGCAATTGTGAGATTCGGTAGAGAAGTTCATAAATTTGGGTCATTTCAATAAGATGATCTTAGAGCACGAAATTTTGGATCTTTTTAAATCATCATGGTTTGTCAAAATAGAAAAAGCAATTCTGCGGAGTTCAGTTTAGAGCATTTTTGGCTAAGCGGGTGCGGAGCCAAGAAATTTGTTCAGTACGGACATAATTTAACCCACGTCGAATATTGAGTTTTGATCATGAATTTAATGATGATAAAACTATAAAACAAGATCATGGGTTTGGACCTAAAAATAAAACTCATGTAAATTAAAACATATTTTTATTCCACCTTCCCTGCTGCTAAAGGGGGGAAAAAGGTGCAAATGGTTTGGGCCAAAAAATTCAGTGCGGGCATATACTTATAATCATGACAACAGATACATAATTATTCGAATTTCAATGGGTACTTTGGGAGTAAAAAGTTTTTGTGTGAAAAAGTAAATAAAAAGAGGATGTAAGAGAGGAATAAAATACCTTATCTCACTCTTTTGTGCAAGAAGAACAATTCAAAGTTCAAAGTTGCGTTAAAATTCTGCAAGTGGACGGTATCGTAAAAATATATAAATAAATAACTAATAAAAAAGTACAGGTTAGTCAAACTATTGATTCCACAAGAATTAAGTATTTAATCTAGTTTTAATTAAACACTTCAATCGAATAGCAATATTTGATGGGTGAGTTATATCAACAAATTAAAACTTATAAATAATCTAACTGTTGAATAAGTAAATATGAAAAAATTTGGCAAATGAGGTCCTGACCCTTTTATGCTAGCTTGAAAACATACGAGGATAAAAAATATTATAAGCATGAGAGTTTGCAGACAAAAAGGTGAACTGTCCCCATAATATTTCACGTTGGCAGAAATTGTTATTAAGCATGATTTCAAAACCAATGAATGAAGAACATGTAAATTAGTGAATAAATATAAACACATAACAAAATTAGTTAGAAATTCACCATTGAATGACCGCCACCTTTTTTCATTCAATAAAAAGATGTAAATGTCCCAAAACCCGAAAGTAAATGAATAAATAGGTCCCGTCTTGGAATTATTTTCATTTAAGTTTAGTTGTAGATTAGTTGCTTCTATTATCGCGCTAACATAGTACTAGTTTTCTTACTGTTGTCGAATGATAATCATATTAGAAAAAAACTTTTTTGAGATCTTTAGTAAAGCCAGGTTAAATGATCCAAAAACACCATCTAGTGCAAATTGGATATGCGTTTTGATGGCTAGAATTTGGCCGTATAAACAAACACTATTTTCTTTGCAAATATTATTTTTATTAAAAGATTTGCTCCCATAAATAATTTTGGATGTCAAACAACAGTTCGAAAATATGTAGGAAGTGCCATTTCCCGAGAGTTTCTTAGCCTCTGTGCACATGCATCACAAGATACATAAGAAATGTCTAGTTGGAGTGGCAGATTATTTATGTTTGACTTGCTTTGTTATTGGAAGGCCAAGCTCTCTTTATTTGTAGTCAATTGAGCCTAGTTACAATTTTATTTTACCTTTTTCTTGTCATGAGGTTATGACAGTGAACAAAAAGAAAATAAAAGCAAAAATGTTTAAAGATGCCTCCACTAGTTGTACTCGATCCAAAATAATAGTGACCATTCCGCCAAAAGCAACTAATTGACTGTACAACACAACACAACCCAACACACATTTTTTGTCATTACTAGCGAACATGCTTAACATATTTGGGGGAGAAATGTACTTAAAAGTAACTAGTAATGGCTAAGCTTAGAGTCACTTTTAACTAAACTGGCTTTCATTTTAGGCGTGGCCAAACACGCTTTAGAAAAAATCTGAGAATCTTTTTGTTAAGATGGATGTATAATCATGATAGATTGGTTAAAATGATAAATGCTAGCAAATAAGTTAGAATAGATATAAAATGATGTTTTCACTTGTGAGATGGTTTTAACATTTAGATTGTTCTTGATGTTTTCAGTAACTTAGTTACTACTTTCTCTTAGTCTATCAGTGACTAGAGAATCTTTTTGTGGAAGTTCTAAATTATTACAAATGCTTTAATCAGAGATTTTCAGAACATTTATAAACATAAGGACTAGGTTATGCTTGTTGCAAACTAGATGATGATACATGCTGCCTTTCATTCATGTGGGTTGCACTATATTAACTTTTAACAATATGTTTAATCTTTTAGTGTTTGTGTGATGACATTGATAGAAATTAACTAACATTATCATCTACTACCAAGTTGCTTTTGTCTGCCTTTTATCTATTGAATTTTTTTTTTTATCATTAATTTTATTTTATTAACTTTAGTTTCATTTGATGTATTTAGGTGGAAAAAAAGATTCCAGAGTTGCATCAATCTGTGGATCTATATCTTGGTTCATATGTCTACCCCTTACTGGAAGAAACTCGTGCAAAACTTGCATCTGCCATGGATGGTATTTATAATGCTCCTTTTGCTGAGGTGAAAGCTCTTGACGTGGCAACACCTTACGTCACACACACTTTTCCGTATAATGTCAAAGTTGACAGATGGAAAAACAGATTAGGGCATGGTGATACGGAGCCCTATAGAACCTTGCCTGGAGATATTGTTTTGCTTTCAAATGGGAAACCTGAATCTGTTGCTGACTTACAAAGGTTTGGATGGACATGGACTTTTGCATTGGTGACTAATATTGCGGAGATTGAGAATGATGATAGTTACCCTGACCCATCCACTGATTTCAAAGTAAAAGCAGAGAGAAGCGAGAATGATGATAGTTACGCTGACCCATCCACTGATTTCAAAGTAAAAGCAGAGAGAAGCGAGAATGATGATAGTTACCCTGACCCATCCACTGATTTCAAAGTAAAAGCAGAGAGACGCATT